AACTTTATTGGAGTTCAGTGTTTAAATGATGCATTCAAATAATAAGAAAATCTGATTTAAAAAATGACACATGAGAAATTTTATTCATGCCACAACAAGCGATCAGATGCAAGCTTCAGTGTTTTATTTTTTCTTCTCTGTTTTTTTTTTTTTTTCTAACATGGTTGCAGTATTTGTTATGTAACCGCCTCACCTCCCTCCACCCTCCTATCTCTGCCCCCTTCACATGTCGCAGGGCAGGGCTGCCTCTTGCTGCCTGTGATGATAATGATGCCATATTTGCACCATTTTTTCTTTCTTTTTTTTTCTACAATCAGACACAGTTGAAAGAGAATGCTGCATAGTGGAAACATATGGAGTCATTTTCTTGTGATGCCTCACCACCACCACCACCACCAGCAGCACCGCCGCCGCCTCCCACCACCCACTGGCTGTTAAAGCTGCATGCACGCCTGCTCAGTGGCTGTGGGAGTGGAGGAGGCATCGCTATGATTAATATTGCTTTGCTCAACTCTCCCAGCAAGGTCATCAGCAGCCATCTGTAGGCAGTGGAAGAAAAAAAAAACCCTAATATCCATTTAGATCTGAACATCCCATTGTTTCTCTGCGTTTTACACGATTCAGCCCAGTGCTCGGGCAAAGTGGCTGGCACATGCACTAGCTGGTGAAGTTGCACCGGTATATTGTTGTATATTGGTTTCGGCGCGTCTGCTTGACAAATTCATAGTTGTCCGCCGGAATACGAAAGCGTCTGGCTTTTTTTTGTGTGTCAAAAAATAGCGTCCCCTATGACTCTGGTGAAGTGTAAATGAATAGGAAGCTGCTTCATCACTTCCAGCTGGAGGAACACTTTCGTCTCCTCTCATCTAGAGGGCAGTGGAGGCCCACGTAAAGACCCGGTGCGTCTGCTCGAATTACAATGCAGAATGCAGAATGCTCACCTCACTATCTCTCGCCTTCTGAGACCAAAGTTACACAGCTGAGCCAACCGTCAGCATATATGGGAGAGTTTCCTCGCGTGTGCCTTGCAAAAATATTTAACTATATGCAATTAGCCTTTGTGGATTTTTTAAATGTGAGGGCATTAACTTTGCATGTATCCCGCAGACAACTAGCCACGTCTGAGAAGCTGCTTACATAGTCGGGGTGGTGGTGGTGGTGGTGGGGGATGGATGCTGCTTGAATTTGTGTGCGTGCCGTGCATGCAGCGAAGGGAAGGGTTGGAGACTAGCAGTCCGGGGGTTGCATATTGAGATCAAAGGAGAGTAAGTCAGACATCAACATCCGTTTTCACCCTCCTCCTGCAGAACAAGTTGGGCCATCTGCTGACAACAGTTCAGACAAAGGATGTTTCATTGTGCTTCACGACGGGGGATCCTGATGGAGAAGTAGATCTCCTTCCACGGCCGCTATCACTGTTCTTTATACTTCGGGTTGACGACGGTCGTGATGGCACTCTTGTAGATGGGGTTGTCCCTCTGCAACGGAGCGGAAACACGGGTCATTCGACGCGATTAACCTTCATTTTGTGTCACAACAGTGCTGATTAATTGAGGATGTGGGCGATCAAGTATGTTACACGTCACATTTTGTTGTCTCAGGGAGAATGTGTGGTGTGTTTCTCCTATATTGCATGCCTTTCCTTTGCTCTCTCACTCTGTTTTCTGTTGCCTCTGTATCAAATTTGCCTTGTTTTTATCGTGTTAGTGGCCAATATGTCCCTGTACCAGTGTCACCAAAGACACACAGTCCTGCATTTATTGTGCAGCCGTCTGACAGACAGGCACTGACAGAAGGATTTGTTTGGGCAGGGCTCACCCTGTTCCAGCGTCTCTGCTCCAGCTCTCTCTGGAAGCGGGCAAACTCCCTGCGGTCATGGATGCTGGTGAGTAGTTTCCATAGCAGCAACAAAGCCACACCCAGCACCACAACAGAGCCTGATAGCACTGCAGTAATCAGGATCACATTTGGACCTGATGGGCATTCTTGACAGACAAAGGAAGACGGGGGCTCCTTATCAAACGCACATTGTCTGGCATTTCAGATGGAATTAATGCGCTTGTTCAATCTCATTGTGGCGTCATTAAAGCTGGAGTGCGGGACATTTGCACATAAATGAACATATGTTACATTCAAGGGGCTTGCTGAGGAAGTTACGCAATGCTGATTAAGTCTTTCAGCAGCAGGTGAAGCTCTCTGTATGTTGCAATTTAATGCAATTTTGAATCTGATGGCTACCGGCAATGATTGGAGGGCAGCAAACATAACGAGGAATATAGCGAGGAAGTGTCCAAGATTAAAAAAAAAACAGAGAAGTCGATGCTTAACAGAAAGATTACAGGGTATGATGATGTATGTTATTAATGTAATTACTCTCATTGCCAGAAGGGGGTCCCAAAAGTTCCGCACTCCAGGTTTAAATAACTTTTCAAACAAAATTAGGTTACAGAAAGTAGGTTACAGAATACAAAGACCATTTAAAGTAACATTATGCAGCTTGCATTTTGCACAATGAGCCACACCTGACACCATCTTAATCTACAAGACTCCCTTACAAGACGCCTTTCTTTGTGCTTTATTATTATTATGACACACTTAAGATCAGTATTTTTTTTTTAACATAAAAAGGGAAAATCCCCAGAGCTGCCGCAACTGACAGTTGTTTTAATGTTGATACGCCGGCGCAGTCCTCAAAAATAGCGATTTACCTCGTTCGAGAGCCACACGAGCGTGGATAGAGTCTTCTTTTTCTCCAGCCCTCAGCAGAAAGTGCACTCTGCAGCCCTCTGTGTCCACTTCCATACACCTGTGAAGGCTTGAAGAGGGGTGTACAGTTGCTAAGACACCGGCCTGACCTACCAAGGTGACGTTGAGGTGGGCACACTTCGCCGCACACTCCTCTGGACTCAAGCCCAGCGCCAAGGCCCTGCACAAGACGCATTCTCTGTGGAAAAGAACCATCTGTGTAATTAGAACTGAGGCAGCATTTAGTAAGCGAGGCAAAAAAAAAAAAAAAAAGTAGTTCTCTGGAGTCTTTTTGTTCTCAAGTATCAGGTAAATGCAGTAGAGAAGTTTCTGACAGGGGTGTGAAACTTTCCCCCTGATTTTTGCTTAATTTTCTTAGAACTATTAAGGTCACGCTACCTGTGCGAGCTACACATGCTGGGGCAGGAAGGGCAAAGCTCACAAGTCGGGCCCTGGAAGCGGTTGTCACGGCAAACGCAGGTCCCGCAGTGGCAATCGCCTCTGCCCCCACAAATCTGTCCATCCTCAGACAGACAAGACTCCAAGCTGAGAGGGCATTCGCACGCTTGGCCACGAAACGCCGGGAGACACTTGCACTCTCCGCACACGCACCTGCCCCGTCCTGGGGTGGCAAAAACATGACAGAAATCAAAAACCACCCCTCAGAATCTACATTATATTCATGACTTTTGTGTTACCTGTGCCTCCACACTGCATGCCTCGGTGCTGATCACAGCCGAAATCGCTGCACTCGCAGAATTGCCCGTAGTTGTTGGGCTTTTTGCTGCTCTTTCCGCAAACACACCTCCCACAAACACACTCTCCGTGCCCGCTGCACACCTCTGATGCATTACCGCGGCGACAAAGGTGCGACTCGACCGCCTCGCCCGACTCCTCTCGATCGCACTCGCAGAAGGCCCCGACTCTCCCCTGGTTGCACCTGCAGCACAGAAAAACAAAAACATCCGTCGCCCGTTTCCTTCCCGGAGAACCTGAAATAAGACTTGTTAGCAAAAATTGATGCCATCAAGCTACTTCACCGACCTACACGCGCCGCACTCCAGAGTGCCGTTGCCATGGCTACATGAAGGGCTGTGTGGGACCACATCCTTTTGACACGAGCACTCGCATATGGGGCTCAGCAGGACCTCAACCTCTTCGCCGTAGCCTTGGGGCTTAATAATAACACGGGATGGTCTTTGTGAAGCAGTCACACACCGAGGCGCTGTAATGCTTACATTAAAGCTCACCTAGAGGGGAGGTGAGAATTCCTTGAGCACAATTATAATGCCCCACTAATGAGGTAATCATAATTTGCATTATCATCGCTTCAACTGCGAATGGCCACATGCTAACAGCAGCGCTCAGACAATTTACCACACACAGGGCCAGTCACACACCTCGTCACCTACGGAGATGTCGGAGCACCTCTTCCCCTGTTCGCCGTGCCTCGGCCCGCCGCCTTTACAGCGGGAAGTATAGGAGACGGAGTAGCCCGGTGGCAGCTTACTGTTCTCCATAACAACTTCAGAGGTCAGCGCCTGTAGTCGATAAAGCAGTTAACCTCTTAAAAGATGAGGAAGTGTCAGCAGGCTACACATGAGGCTAATGACCCTTGTAGGGAGTCTCGGCTTGGCTTACATTGTATGCTTCGACAATTATCTGCAGGATGTTGTGGGAGTTGTTGGAAAGCGTTCCGACCGCACATTTTGGGAAGACGCTTCTCAGGCCCTGCAGCGAAGCAACGGTATCGTCAACATAAACGAATCAATACGGTATGTGTTTATTGACGGACTGCCAGCTGATTTATATGCAACTCTTTTTAGCAACCTTTCCATCACTGTAGTGGCAACGAAGAATTGAATGCAGAGTCAAAGCACGGGCGCTCACATTAGTCATGGTTGTAAATCGCCTCCTCTGATGTAGGTATAGGTGTAGAATTTAAAAGAAAAAAACTTAAATGCTACCACTCTTGATTGACTTCCACTGGACACACGTGAATGACAAAGAGCGAGTTTGTCGATATTCTGCAAATCCTATAAAGGAACTGAACAACAACGTATAGACGACACAGACAACACAAGCCAGATAAGCTTGTTAATGGGTTCCATTGACCTCCACCATTGTGTGAAGACGTATTGATGTGCCACACCATTGTACTGCGTGGCGTGTTCAGTCATTACAGTGCACTGTAGTTTATCTTCTCACATGCATCATCCTGTTGCTGTAGATTTAAGCACCTGAAAGTAGTCCCCAACATATTCACCAGTTACGTTAACTTGGGTTGTGTTGGCCAAAAAGTAAGGAAAGTGTTTCACATTTAATAAATGCATTGTTAGATTTATGTAATCCTGTGCTGCCAGCCGCTAACCAGTGTTACGTTCAAGAGTTAAAGCTGAGGTAGGCAGCATTTTTCTGGCATTGTTGGACAAAATTCCATACGAACCAGGTAGCATATTGTAATTCAAGTAAGTCTTCATTTTCAGGCTTATGAAAGTCTCCCCCCCGACTGATGATTTAAGGCAATCAAAGGGCTTTTCGCTAATCAGAGGAGAAAAGATGAGGTCTATGGGGAGAGTGGGATATGGTGGCACATAGAGTTAAAGCCAATTCATGCTTTCTGCAACCGCAAGGATCTCAAAGCTTAATTTGGTCATCCACCCAAGTCTGCAACAATCTGCAGACTCTCCGTCGGCAAGCGTGACAACTGCATGTGTGCCGGAAATCATATGCGGCTTGAAACTACTGTTTGTTGTAATAAGAGATAGTTTGGGGAGATTTTTTTTGTCATCCACACTTTCTAATTCATAATTACAGCAGGTTTAATTCAACTTGTTGCTGCCAGAATGTGGAGGGGCTTTGATTTTTCCATCGACGGCACCCCAACACATAGGAAGCTCCAAATTATCCAGAAATCCCGTGCTATGGCTGCACACCTCAGGTATAATCGCTTACACTGTGCTGTATCCCACTTTCTAACTAGCTGCTATATGCTGTAAAAAGTGCAAAGCCACAGACAGATTTTTGCAAACACGGGAGCTCCATGTGCTTTCCTGTGCTCCATACAGACTCACGTAGACGTAGAATCACATGTGTGGCCGCCGTTCGCTTTTAAAATCGGTATCGGTCATGTAGAAACCATGAACTGACCTTGAGATTGACAACTTTTACTTGGAGGAGAAGGGTTTAAATCCTGGGTGAGGCCACAAATGGATGCTACATTTTCTTATTTTTTACCTTTCCAGATTTCTGCCTACTGCAGCTTTATTTTGCAGATCCGTTATTATAGAGCTTCGTCACCATAATTTCCTTCATTGCAGCCATTCTAATTCAACATCTATTTACATCTTGGCAATGTGTGAAAAGATTAGAAGTCAGAGGGAACAATAGATTACTTTGAGATATAATGTGGTGAAGGCCTTGGGCAAACGCTCCCTACAAGTTGTTGGAAAACTTTTCTGCAGCCTAATTTTACCGGTTTACTCAGGCGCCATCACAGTAATGGCAGCTTGACTTCTGCCCACAGGTGTATGGAAAACAACTCACCCCAACACTAAAGCATATATTTAGGTAAGAACACTTGATGAATTAACAGAAATAGCCCCTGCCCGGTACCTCGTACAGGTGCGTGACTTCTTCGGTGACGGCGAAGATGATCTGGATGTTCTTCCGTCTCAGTGCCTCGGCGACGTGAGCCGGCGAAGGGTAGTCCTGACGGAGGGGAGTCGGGGCAGATGCAGAATGCAATGCATAACAGTCAGGCCAGGATATATATGTGTAATCAGTAGTTAAGCACGCTCTCCCTCTTCCCTCTATTGCTGTCCTCCCCCTTTCCCTCCCATCTAACAACTCCTTCTATTGCTCATTTCATTCACTCTCCCTGACAGACTTTCCATTCCCTCCAAATAGATAAATAAGTACCATTCAGGGAGGAGCGACACCCGCATCTCGCACATCCATTTCCAGCCTTGGGTGGCCATTTATCCAGACAGAAATAGATTAATAATGCATCCATATTCACTCCACCTGTCAACTGCCTGGACTGGAATAAGGTCAAGACACATAACACTCTCGTGAATCTAATGAGAGGCCTATATGGATGTTTAACACACGGGGGGATAAAGAAATACACTCACAAAAAATCGGCACACACATACTCTCTCCCAGCACCCACCACGGCGGTACACAAACACAGCGAGATTAAGAGATGAAAGCTTTGGTTTGAATTACTCCACAAACACTCCAGCTGTTTCCCATCAGGGTGTGCCTGTCAGCATCTTCTTTACCCAGGGAACTGTGCTGTTTATTCTGACCTTTAAATCACTCTCTTTGACTTCTGTCTGCAGCTGCCCGGACCTCTATTTCACTGCTAGGATTGGAGATGGGAATCAATTTAGCACGCGTTGCAATATCTGGTCCATAGGATAAACACCGCGTGCTCCTCGGGACCGCAGCAACACAAAGCGTGCTTCAAACAGAACGAAAACACACACAAACACACACACACACAGCACTGTGACAGCTTGATCTGTTGAGCTAAGGCTTTGGTCTTTGTCTGTGAATATACGCATGAGATATCGCAATTTATTTGATTTTCCTGCGAGTGAGAAGAGCTCACGGCTGACTGACAGCTCCGAGGTAAAATTATTAACCTATTAAAATCATGTTTCAGTCCATGTAATGAATGGAAATCTGATATTTACTCTCCTTCCAGTGCTTGCTTGTTTGTCTGCGAGTGAATAGAATAAAGTCTTTATTTGCCAGACAGTGGGCTTATTTTTAAGCTAGGTACAAATTTTGTTTGCCTGCTTATTTGGGTGGTTTATCAAAGCTGTTTTGCTGTCGCTGGTAATAGGGATGATTAAATATAAAACTTAACCATACGATAGAAATGGGCCATAAAACCAAAA